AAAAAATCCGGAACTTACATCGCTTGAATCAAAAAAACCAGAAAATCAATCAAAAAATCGCTATCGAGATATTTCACCGTGTAAGTTAAAGTTTTCTGTAATATAAAACGAATTAATAAATGATTAATAAGATACATTCATTTGAAATTGAATAATTATTGAAATCATTTGTGCATAATATACAAATTTTTGTAGATGATGTTACTCGAGTGATCTTGATGGGATCTGCGAACGGAGATTACATTAATGCGAATTATGTGAACATGGAAATACCAGGTTCAGGCATTATTAATAGATATATCGCTACGCAGGGTCCTCTGTCTTCCACCGTTGCCGATTTTTGGCAAATGATTTTAGAAGCCGGTAGCACACTTGTCGTTATGCTGACAACTCTAGTTGAACGCGGTCGTGCAAAATGTCATCAATACTGGCCGGCGTATAACGAGACCCTTACATTACGGAATCTCACTCTTACATCGACTGCAGAAAATGTCGAAGATACATTTATTTTTAGAGAATTCATACTTCGCGATGTTAACGTAAGTAAAGTTTTGTATTATTGTAAGAGGAAAAGAAAATATGAGTATGAAATATAATGCACAACAATATAATAATGTGCGCATTTTTATGTGCAATCAACATATATGTTTGCAGACTGGAGAAGAAAGAGATATAACACATATGCAGTATTGCAGCTGGCCTGATCACGGAGTACCCAGTGATTGGCGACAATTTACTACATTTACAGAGCGTGTTAGAGCAGCTCGTACTGGAATAGTTGAACCTGCGGTTGTGCATTGTTCTGCTGGAATAGGACGAACCGGTGTATTAGTTTTAATGGAAACTGCATTGTGTTTAATTGAAGCTAATCAACCAGTGTATCCGTTAGATATTGTACGCTCTATGAGAGATCAGAGAGCAATGATGATACAGAATGCTGTAGGTTTCATTCGTTGTCATATTATTTATAACATATTATTTTATTTGAATATAACATTCTTTTTCCTTCCAGAGTCAATATAGATTTGTGTGTGAAGCAGTCCATAAAGCCTATAGTGAAGGGATAGCCAAGCCACTTCCAGAGTTTAGTAGATGAAAATAAAAATTCAAGATGGACAGCATTTTGTAATTATACCATTTCTTCTCTCACATCTTCAAGCATCATGCCACTAGAAAGTAGTTTTATACTTTGACAATAACATATAATATATATTTAATATAGCATATCCTAGAAAAAACAGATATTTACTGCATAAAGTATACATTTCATTTATATATAACTGACATGTCCAGTTCTCACTCATTACTGTAACAAAATTTTCTATTTCTGTTTAGTCTTATACGTAGATTGATTTAATATTTTAGTGATTTATTTTATTTCTTTATACAAAACATTGTTTTGTACAAAATGTGATCATATTTTTCTGTTACGAGTATTAATGTTCTTGATAATTTAAAATATTTCTATGAGACATGTATTTAAGAAGCCTCAAAAAAGTAATGCACTATTAAATTTATAAATACATTTATATATATATATATATATATATATATGTGTGTATATGTATATAATAAAAATTATAAGATATTTCTATGAAAGTTTAATTATAGATTGAAAAAATGGACTGTAATTTAAAAATTTGCATTAAATATATTTACATAAATATATGTATGTGTGTGTACACATATATATATATATACATATATATATACATATATAAATTATATATTGTATCTTATGGAAATATTTTAAATTTATTTAAATTATTTAACAATTGATAATTAAATTTTGGTATATTAAATGATTGCTATTAATTAATAAAAATTTGCTATTATACACTGCTATTATCTAATACAAATATTTGGAATATTAACTTATTTATAATTTAAAATCGATTTTTTTTTGCGAAAATTTGACACATCTATTATTGTTTTAAAACGTTTGACATCATAATTAAATATAAAAATCTGTGAAGTCAACAAAAGAAAAATTAATATTAAAGTATATAAATTAATATATTTACATTATAAATTCGAAGTACAATTATGAAAATAATGGAAAAAATTTGAAATATGATAACGTAAATAAGAAATATAATACGCGATGTAAACAAAATATACATAAATTAAATAGATTTAGTATGCTAGATATTTAGTTTATCACATCAATTATCAATGTACTTGGATGAATTTGAAGATTAATCAATGGATGTATTTGGATGAATTTCTTTAAT